GTTTTTTGTACAAAAATATGTTAAGCTATTGTAATCTTCTTGTGTGTGTGGCAGGTATCACATACCTGTCGATGAGAAGATGTGGTCTAGATTGATTCTGCATTCACAATGAGCAACCATTGCTGATAACGGGGTTTTGGTACCAACAACCAGAATTATATATAAAGAAAAAAAAGTCAACTTGGGAATGCTTGCTTTAACATGTATTAGCAATGTTAAGAAAACATAACTGAAGAGTTAAACAAATGCATAAAATGTGAAATATTTAGAGACGCTTGGTGGTTAGTCTGCTACTCTATAGATTTTAGTTTTTTTTTTGTTTTTGTTTTTGGGGGGTACTGGTGAGAGAATTTGGACTCCTGACCTAACATCCCACTTACTGGCCGCCTGTTAAATGTGGTGAACATGGATTTTTCCGGATCTTTAACTTGTCTTGACAGCCGCTTGGGCTCGAAACCACATCTTTACACACTGCCTGGCCAGGATTTTGCAGTCTCTGTGCAGCTGGTTACTACTCTCTGTACTATAAAAACAAACAGGACCACCATTTGTGTAAATCCAGAAATGACTGAATGTGATTAAAGTGCTGTTTGTTTGCTTTTCAGAATATTTTTATGAACTCTTAATGAGTGCAGCTTATTTGTAAAAAGTGAAATGTGACACTTATGCAGCTCACATGACTGAGTCTGAATTTCAGGGGGTGAGGACTGTACGCGTGAACATGGGAGAAGTTACTTTACAAACAGGATCATTAGGGAAATTTGTTAATGCTTTTTAGCGAGGATCACTGTGCCTGTTAGGCAGACCAGCTGGTTTCCAGTTTGAGGCTGAGACAAATGAGGTTTTACTGCTGCACTTCTCCTAGAAATGTCCATATTCATTTAGTCTCCGAAGACCCCCCACAGCACCGTCTCATATCTCTGCCGCCACAGAACTAGTTCATTCAAATAAAGCTCACTGCTTCAGAGCTCGCGCTGTCACTAATTAAATCATTAGCCAAATAGTCAATTGGGTAATTAATCAGAGGGTGATTAAAATAATTATCTAAGAGGAAGTGGTGCGAGTCTCCTTCATTATGGGCATTTTATGATTGCTGGTGTAGTGGCAATTTTTCCCCTTCAGGTTTTTATGGCCATTGATGATGTTATTACAGTCACGTGTTGGCTGTGTTCTGCACAGCTCTATTGCAGGACTGAAGGACAGCAGTGACCATGTTTGTGTGTCTCTCTCAGCACACACACATTGGATTGTACTCTAAAGAGGTGTGTTCTGTGTTTGCAGGTAAATGGTTTGTGAGCACAGGGAAGGACAACCTGCTGAATGCATGGAGGACTCCTTATGGTGCCAGCATATTCCAGGTAACTGGATAACTACGAACACACAGCTCCAGTCGAAGGTTTGGACATGAAGGAGCGAGTGTGTCCAAACTTTTTAACTGGAGCTGCAGTGCAAAGAGAGGCCAATGGGTCCTAGAATAATTTTGGCAGGAAAAATGGCTAAATTCAGATTGTTTTAATCTCACACTGCACTTGTATACAACTCATTAGTTTTGTTTCTTAATTTTAAAATGCAAGCCGAGGCTTTTCCAGTTCAGATTTCTGGTTTATATTTTGTCCTTGAGCTAATGTGACATCAGCCGATTCTTCCTGAAGGACAGTTGGGCAGCTAATTCATGAGTAATCTGACTGAATTAAACAGCTGTGTACCCACATGGTGCTGAACAAATCA